GGAAAAAATAAGAACCAAGATGCATCATGTAAAGTTACAATTCCCAATGAGAAATGTAATTGTGTTGTATACCTACAATGTACCAATAAAAGAATTTAATAAAGTGAAAAAAAAAGAAAATTGAGGGTGGAATATGGTAGAGAACCTGCAATAAATCCTTCCCTCTCAGGTTGGAGATCCTCTTGGCTGTTTGCTGTGTGCCAAACCCATATTTAGCTAGAAAAAAGATGGACCAATGTCTCAGGAGCCTGATACCAACATGACTGGACCATTCAATTGCCAAATGATAACAGTGTAAGATACAATATGGGATAGAAACAAACACCTGGTATTTCTCTGTCATGAGAAATTATGCATATTTGCTCCTTCATAATGTTGATATTAGAGAATGGAGAAAGCTCACATCTCAGTGCTTCGCTTTGCTATGTTTTATTTCTAGAAAGAAGTCACAGGTGCCCCTCAGGGAATTGCACAAAGTTAGGGATTGGGAGCCACTGTCTTCGAATCTGTCCACTACAGTTAAATGCTGGCCTCTAACCATTCATCCTTCTGGTACATAAAAAATATATTCATTCTCTCCCAAGGTTCCAAAAGGTATCAATTCATTAGTAACTTCCAAAAGTCCAAAATTTCATTATCTAAATCAAGTGTAGGTATGGATGATATTCCTGGGGTATAATTAGTTAACTAACTTCTAGGACACGTTTCCTCTCAATCTATGGCTTGTGAAACTAAAAAGACAAGTTTTGTACATACAACGCACTCAACATTCAATGGTAGGATAGGCCCAAGATGAAAACTATAGATATCTCTTCTCAAAAAGAAGGAAATGAAAGGTACAAAGAAGTTATTTGTTCATAGCAATTCTGAAACCTAGTCAGGCATTCCTTGTTTAGGTTTCAAGACCTCAAATAAATTCTGCATGGTTCAGTTTACCATACTTTGCTTATTTTTGCATTCCACTTTGGGCAGGATTTCTCTTTATTTTAGCACAGATAGACCTTAAGCTCTAAAGTTCTTAATCCCTGCCATCTCAGGAGAAAATTCATCTTTATTTAGAATTCCAGCAAGAATCCCAAGGAGAGCTTTGTTTGACACGCTTGACCAGATGCCAACCTTTAAATTAAATACTTTGGCAAGATGGTACATACAACTGACCAGCCTTGGTTATGTAACTATCTCTAGAACTTGGATTAGAGTCAGTCTTACTATAACTGTATCAGTTAAAAGCCTACTATCTGTCCACTAAAATATTTAATGATATAACAGAAAATGTTATGGTATTCCATTATGAAGGAAAGATTTTCAGATTTAGTAACCAAAATTCCCTTTTCATGCAAGTGTATTATAATTTCTGCTTCAGCTATTCCATTCAAACTCCTTTACTCATAAATAAGCAGTATCATCATTCCATCTTTGTACATCTGCAATATGTACGTGTAATACCATCTTGCTTCCCAGCCTCACAGAAAGGGCAAAGGTGGACAGGTGGTATACAGCATCCCTGATAGAGAAGCACTATTCAATTCAAGAAATTAATTTGAAGGAAACAAAATTTTCCCCACTCCTGGCAGTGTTTTAAAGTGAACTTTAAATATTCATGATACCAAAACAGAATATTTGCAGGTTGGAGCTTGAGATAAGAAAGCAACATCTCACCACTGAAAATTACAAGATACCTTGGGATAGTGCTTAGGAGGGCCAACAAGGGAGGGAAAATGAAAACAATCATCATGACCATAACAGAGACCATCCCTTCAGCTACGCTGCTTAGAAGGTAAGCTACTAACAGAAGCCCACCATTTGGTTAGTATGCATGTTTATTATTAAATTGATCTATGCCCAAATAAAAATGTAAATACTCCTGCCAGAGTTTTAATTATTCCCAATTTTTTTCATAAGTCCCAAATGTACTACTATTGACAACTAGTTTGGCAAATTTCACCTTAGTATTACAGTCAAGGCTCCGGTGCCAAGGTAAGAAAAAATAGTTGCTTTCCTTATAGAAAGCTAGCTAAACAATCTTTGAGAGCAAATGTGCTACCTTATTTCATACAGGCATGAACAGATCTGTGGTTAATAGGTTTATGGAAAAATTCCAAGAAAGAATTTCCTAACCACTGATATCTTTGAAGGCATGAATGGCTATATGCAAAATGAACAAAAATTTATTTTTTTTGAAGGAAGAAAGAGTATGCATTGTATACAAGATCCACCTGTTGGCCTGTTTAGCACCTTCTTATGTTTTAGGGCTCATCAGAAATTTCATTTCCTTAAAGAAGCCTTCTCTAAATTGTCCTGCCTAAGTTCTCTCCCTCCCTCTCCCTCCACCCGCTCTCTCTGTCTCTCTCCCCCTCACTCTCTGCCCTCCCCCCCCCGTTTAAAACTTGTTTTCTTGATAGAACACATCATAATTTACCATCATGGTTCTTTGTTAGTTTACTTGTTTGCTGTATGTTTTTGCCAACAGAAGCTCCTAAATAGATCATCACATTTACATTAGTGTCTAATACAGTATTTGGGGTATAGCTGCCTTTAATGAATATTTGCTGGATAAGTGAAAAGAATACCAGACCCAGGTGATAGGGCCTTACCGTTGTTAATGCAAATGCCACTGAGACTAATTCTTTCTAGGATTTCACAGACTGAAAGAAATGTTTTTGTCCACATTAATAAAAGAAAATAAGAAAATATAAACTGGCTATAATGTTTGATAATTCCAACATAGGAGTTCTCTAAATACCAATAAAGCATTTTTAAGTCAAAAAGTCAATATTACATTTAGAAGGCAATTAACTGCATAAAAATATAATCTACACTATATTTTTAGAAACAAATTCAAGATCTTATTTTATGGTTAATGTGGTCTAATGATGTCTTCTTTACAGCCCAATACCCAACAAAGTAATGGCACAATGACAGAAGTTTTGTTGTTTTTTACTTTTTGTACTGTCTTCATACACCAGTAAAAAATAAAATCTTTAATAAATAAATATATATAATAAATATTTGCAAGTTGAAAATGTATAAATAGGTCCATTCTTTTAAAAACTTTTCTACCTTGGTGTGACACATTTTAGAGTTCATGATCACCCAGTGTTTTTTTTTTAACATAGGATGCCATAACCTGCAAAATCCTACAAGGTCCTCAGAATTTACAAGGTAGTAACCATGGCCAACTATGTCAATCCATTTCTTCAACATGAAGTATCTATTTTTAGTATAACTTTCAAAGTAAACATAATCCAGAGAGGTGAAGTACCAGCAGCAAATTAGGTGAGGTTCCCATTATCCAAGTTTAACTGATTTTCATTTTCAATCTACTGGTAAAGACAGAGCCAAGGTACCTAAGGAAACTTAATTGACTTATAAAGAATGATCTTGTTCTACTTTGAGTCAAATATTTTTCTCAGTCTTCTTTCCAAATTTAGTCTTCAAATGGAAAAGGCTGTCATATTCTGAGTGTCTTCCTTAGGTGTTCTCTAGTGCTGTGAACTATGATGGAAAAGAATGGCTGTGGTTTCATTCTTTGACAGAGACACTGTCACACTCAAGCATACATCAGAAGGTCCTTGTACAACTCTGGAACTCTTTCTGGATCCACTGGTCTAGGTAAGAAATGTGTAAATTTTTGATGTCTTTTGGACCTTGCACCATCTCTTGGAGTCCCATCTTTGTTAAGTGCCACAAAATACCTGCGGCCAGTGTCTCCATGTTTATAGATGTTAGATGAATAGGTATTGTACCAGTTCTCTTCAAATTGTTCCCTAAAGATGCATTCAGAAGTCAGTTTTTCCTAAAAAGAAGAAAGAAAGAAAGAAAAACTATCATTTAGAAAATATCTTTGAAATAATTTTCTTACAAAAATCTCAATTTTCTATTTTTATTTCTTTGCCTATGATTGTGTCCTTGTCAAAAAGAAAAAGGTGAAAATATTTTTATTTTGGTTCTGTTCAGATAGTAACCTGCAGTTCTTCTTCTCAGGAAACTTTGGTTTAGTTCAAAGAATGTTTAGTCCAATGTTAATTCCCCATTTTATTTTCAAATACTTAAATATTCTGCATTTTCCATGCTCCATATTATCATCCTCCTAACACTATCACCTCCAACCAAGCCCATAGTTCATCTTATTCCATAATTAGATGCCAAAGTCATGTTCATCGAGTCTCTACTCAAAATAGTCAAGATCCTGCTAAGATCCAAATTGTGAATTCAAGATTATAACTGCAAATGATACACCTTCCTATGAATTTATTATTTGTTTGATGATACATTCTCCATTACTAACTTCTATCTGGATATGTTGCTATTAAGGTAAATCTATATTTCTTGTCTTTGCAAGATGAACTATATATTGTCCTAAAGATAGAACATAGTTGCTTATTTTACCCCACACATATGTGCAAGTGTTTTCCCTACTCTGAAAATCATTACGCACTACGTTATTTTTCTCCTGTTTCACAGCTGACAGAAAGCCCGGAAAGGACAAGTTTTACCCTTACAAAGGGCAGATATTAGTCTATTTACTGAAATATTGCAATCAATTTTTCTCAGTATAATTAAGATTCTATCAGAATATAGGTCTCAATTGAGAATTTAAGGAAAAGAGTATAAAAAATAAATTCTCTATGGAAATAGCTACAGAGGCTTGAATTGAAAAAGAGGTTTCATATGTAAGTAGGGTGGGAAAGTGGTACAAGTTTAAAATGTTTTCAAATTACATAAATGTGAACAAATAAAAAATGTTAACAATGAAAGAAAAATTATATTGTGTTGCAGAGTGAGTTCTATATTGTCCTGTTACTCTAGTTCTTATGTTGCTGTTGCTGTTTTGTTTAAAAAGGAAAACAAAACAAAAAATCCATAATCTTATACCTATTATATGCTTTAAATTTAATATTTAAACATATATTATAGATCCAATGATGTATAAGAGTAATAAAAATATATGCTGAATATTTAAATTTTTAAAATTTATTCTAATAAAAGACACATTGCCATAAATGCCCCTTAAAATGCCCCCCACTTTTCTTCAAACATACTTATCCCATTGTTTTCACCACTTTCTACAACAGTTCTGGAAGTTCTCTTTATGAGCATCCTTATAAAGTGTGATAAAAAAATACAGTGAATGCTGCTTCTGTGTGTCATCTAGTGGAAAAATAGGCTCATGAAAATATTACAATGTATCTTCATCTACCTTATTCACCAGATATGACACCATGTAATTTCTGGCTCTTCCCCAAAGGCAAAATGATCATGAAAGGTAAACATTTTGGGTCGATTCAGGACATTGAGGTAGCCATGACAGAACAACTGGGTTTTTTTATTTATTTTGAAATGGGGTCTCACTAAGACCCTAAATTGCCCCAGCTGGGCTCAATCTTGTAATCCTCCTGCTTCAGCCTCCCAGAACACTAGGATTACTTACAGGTATGCACTACCATGCCCAGTTCAAAAGTATATTTTGTATACTTCTTTTAACAGACATTATTGGTAGAAATTTAATTACAAAATAGTCATGAGAATAGCAACAAAAATAAATAATAATACATACTGATCCATAGAGTTCTCCTCTGTCATTCATTCCAAGATAAAGTCCACTATCCACACCTCTAATACTGACCAGTCCCACTGCCACACTGATGAATTCCAGGATACCTGTATTTATGTACAAAATAATTATTTGTATTTATTAATAAACATTTAAGTAATAAAAATCTTTCAAATCATAGTGGTAGATCAATATTGCTAAATATACTGATGTATTCATACATAGATGTCCTTAGTAAGCTGAAAAGTACTGTATAATTATTATTATGACACTCCTGTTTTCTAGATTTTGAAAAAGGCTAAAAAGGAAAAAAATGTACATCATGGTATAATGTCAATAGTATGAAACCTTAAATTTTACTGACCTAGGTTTGAATTCCAATTGATTAACTTACTAGCAAGGCTCCTTAGGCAAGTCATTTGTCTTCTTTGGACTCCAACTTTGTCATATGCAAAATGAATGAAATACCTTCTGACAGGAGAGTGATGAGGATTTACACATTTAGGCATTCAATAAATGGAAGCTATTATAAATGAACATATTATAAATGAATGAACATATGAACATATTATTGAGGTAAATGAACATATTATTGAGGTATTCCAAATAAATGAACATATTATTGAGGTATTCCAAACTGGAAAATGTTATCATAAATTACTACATAATACAGGTATTCTTGGTCTTCCATACTTCTATTAATTAATTATAACCATTTTCTATTAATTATTTTGCTTCTGTTTACAATGAATCAGGTTTATCTTTTTCTAGCAGCAGCATACTTTATATGGGTATAAAAAATTTATAGTTTATCAAGGGCTTCTACTTATATTTTTTCATCTGGTCTTAAAAATAATCCCTTAAACCAAGATACGTCATGTAAAGGTACAACTTCCCAATGATAAATGTAAATGTATTGTATACCTAAAATGTACAAATAAAAGAATTTAAGGGAAAAAATAATAATCCCTTAAGATAGGAATAGCTTCCCAATGATAAATGTAAATGTATTGTATACCTAAAATGTACAAATAAAAGAATTTAAGGGAAAAAATAATAATCCCTTAAGATAGGAATATATTATTATATCTATTTTACACATAAAAAACTGAAGGTCAGACAGGTTTATTGACTTGCCTAAGGAACATGAGGTTTGTAATCAATAAAACTAATACTTGAACTTACATCTCCTGAACCCTAATCCAATATTTCTACTTGAGCACACTGTTTCTTTTTTTTTTTTTGGTACCGGGGATCGAACTCGGGTCCCTGCACTTGCGAGGCAGGTGCTGGAACCACTGAGCTAAACCCCCAGCCCAGGCACACTCTTTCTTAAGAACAGTATACAGTAGTTCCAAGATTTTACAGAAGACAAAATATGCTGTTTACTGACACATGATTTTTAAACAATAAATATAGTTCAGAGAAGTAAAGGGACTTTATAATTAATTGCATGTGCTAGCCAAATACCAAGGGCTTAAGCATACAAGTAAGTTTGCTATCAATAATTTTCTAGTTATTCTGTCAGTAAGCTAGTTTTTAAAACTCTCTACTTAATACACTAAAACGCCACAGTTTAAAAAAAAAAAAATTTCGGGCCAGGGAGTTAGCTCAGTGGTTTTGCCACCTGGTGTGCAAGCACAAGGACCTGAATTCGATCCCCAGTACCAAAATAAATAAATAAATAAATAAATAAATAAATAAATAAAATAAAAAATAAAAAAAAAACTTCATGCCTACCTTTCCATAGCCTTTTTTTTTTTGTCTGCATATAGTAACATTTGGATTAATGCCTTTGTCTAGCTCTTCCCTTTAGACTGCTGAAAAAGTATCATCATACTTTCTATGCTTGGGTCTGCCTTCTTCCATAGATTTCTACCTTCACCACTTCACCTCTTCTTAAGCTCTACAAACAGTATAAATGTGTACCATTTAGACTGACTCTTGCTCTAAGTCACTTCTTGATTTATTGTACAAGTTCCTGCTTAGACACATGATACTCCCAAGGCCAAGGGAAAGTACAGAATCTGACTAGTTGCTGATATAGAGAGTTCTATTCTCTCTAGAGTTTAATTTACTCTTTGGCAGAAACATAGATTCTTAGCAAGACAAATGAGCTCTTTGAAACTATTAGGAGATCATGTAGAACACAAGAGCTATCAAGGATCTTACAGCAACAATACATTACTAACTAGTCTGTAAGTGGCTTGAAAGAGCCAGTGTTCCTAATTGAGAGCCTAGGGCAGAGAGAAGATAAGATATCACAGGAAGACCTAGACTCTATAGGATGGAGACAACTATCCTAATGCCATCATAATGACAACTATAGAGTGGGAAAGTAAAGGAAAATCAAACTCACTACCAAGTTCATCAGTAAGAGAGTCCTGTTAGGAACAAAATTATAGGCCCAAAACATAATTGGTATAAAAATATATTGATGGAATTTAATCCAAAATATAATTACTAATGTGTATTTACTTTGAATTATATTCAATCTTCATTCAAATTTTAAAAGCATGCTACAATTAACATGTGCAAAACTTGATTTCCTTTAAGTATCTGATTTACATTGATACTCTTGTCTTTCAAAGAACAGAAACTGAGTAACTTATTAGAATGTAGACTACAACCAGTTCTTAAGAATAAAAGGAAGTAATTTCCATATAAGCAAATTATACAACATGTGTCACAAAGTATTCATTTTTCCTGGAAAACTAAATGGTAAACCACTGACATTTTAATTCTCATCTTAAAACAATACTGACATCCTACAAAAAATATGTAATTGTAAAAAGAAAAATGATTACACATATTCTTAGAATAATTATATTCAGTAGTTTCAACCTTATTAAACAACGTCTAAAACCTCATACACAACCAAGCATAAGTAATTTTGCAATGGCTCGTGGAGCTGATGGGAAAAAAGTTATGTGTTTTTGTGTTCCTCTTAAAGATTTTAGCCACACTTTATAATTCTAATCCTTTTTCTCCTCAAGGAAATAGTATACCACATAGTAATTTGTAATCGTTTGATTCTTAAATGAGATTTGACAAGTCTTTCTTATTTATAATATGAGGTGGCAACTAAGCTAATTCCTTTACAAAGAGTAGACATGAAAAACTTTCCTTAAGAGGTAATCACAGATTTTAGATAGATTTTCTAATGCCCAGTGTCCCATAAAAAGACTTGGAGGTACTTTGTCTTTCTGGTATCGTTTTCAAAGCCAGTCTTTTTTTTAAATCATAATAAACAGGTGAGTCAATCCACAATGCAACCACATCAGACAAATCTATGGAGAATAAGGAAGAATAAAGGAAAAAGCTTTAAAGGAATATGTTTGATCTCAGGCTAAATCTTTTTTTTTTTTTAAAGAAATGATTCCATGCTTATGTATTAGGTAAGGTCTTCCTACAGTACTGCTGTGAAGAAAAACTGCTATAAATACAGAATTCACTCAAATAGGGAATTGTTTAACCTCACTGAGACCTTTCTGTTTATGTTCTATTGATATGATTTTGAAATTTTACATACATAATTCTGAGTTTTTATTTGATCATGGATAAATTAGTATAAAATTATCAAAATATGTTTAATATTTGAAGTAGCCATTCTTAGTTGTTTTTTTTTAATTTTACTTTGATGACACAGGAATGAGTTTAAAAGAAAACATCAAAATAATTTAATAATCAGGAACTGGGATACTAGTAAGAGGAGGCAGACCCAAACAAGCATGGAATGTTATGAACTTTCTTCTCACCTGTACTTCCTGGTATTAAACCGTGATATCTGAGCTACTACAGGCCACTAGGATGCACTATAATTCATCATATAAAGACTGTTCACTCCTTTAGGCTGCCAAATGAATCTGGGTTATCTTCCTTTTAAGTAGCAGTGAATATTTTGTTCCTATATATAATTTCCCACAATAGTGGTGACTTAAACCAGCACAAAAACAACCTGTTATAATTTTGCAATTACTAAATAATTATACAAAATTTTAGTTTATAAACATGTGCTAGCAGAATAGTATCTCTGACATGTAACATCTATTCCTAAAGGAAAGGGTTTAAATCTCAGGTGAATGAATGTTATCAAGTCTCTGACTATTTACTAATCTTGCATAGACTCAGTCTTATAGAGACACAAAGAAGCAGAAGCAATTCTTGTCATTAAAGAGATCACAACTGAATTACTAGAGTCTTAAAGGAAGACTTTCCATGCTACATTGAGTTTGGCAGGAGAGTGAATATTTCCTAAGCTTAACTTCTACCTGCTCTACCTATCACATTGTGTCCATTTCTGAATCTTTCTGCTAGCCAGAGGATGTTTCTGTCCTGAGCAGAGTGTAATCATTTTTGAAGAGAACTGAGCCCCTGGTGTTGGCAAACTTCTTTAGAATCAGAATCTCAAACACCTCAATTAAAAAAAAAAAATTGACCCCAGGTTGGCCACAAGGTCATGACACTCTTGACTCAGTCAATAGGAATTTGGAAGAGATCAGTGGAAGCTGCAAACATATGGGTTTTAAAAAGTTAATTTTCTAAGCCTTTAAGTGCGACCAAATGACCACCACATGCTTATTTCTGCATCTAAAGTTACAAATGCTCCCTTAAACAGAGATTTACACTTCACCAAGTTTTAATGAGTGCCTCAAGTCAAAAAAGAAATAAAAATATAATGCAAACATGAACAAGGGGAAGAGGACAAGATAACAGGATCATTCACAAATGAGATTCTCAAATAATTCTATAGTGCAAATGAAGGGAAAGAATTATCTTGCCCTTTCATATTGCTGATGGCAAGTATCTGCTTAAAATACAATGAATCTCTCCAGTGATATCACAAATCAGATCATCAAAGTCTTTCAAGAATGCTAGTAGGTTAACTCTAATATAAGAAAAATTTTAGGTATGGGGAAAAGATCCTAGGATGTTAAAAACAGAAAGTACCTTAAAGAGATCATCTAATCTAACCCATCATTGTGCAGATTCAAACAAACAAACAAAAAGAAGCTAAGACTCATACTGAGGAGGTCACTTGTTAGTTACACAGCTAGTTAGGAAGTAATTAACAGTAGAAGCCTTATAATTTCCTAATCTAATTCCTAATCTAGTGTCTGTAACACTTTCATGATCATTTCTTTCTTTGTTTTAACCCCTCTGCTCACAGGCTCTACTGCCTGAGATATTTACAAATGTCTCTCTGTTCCGTGTTCCCACCCCTATCTTCTTTCCTTTCCCCATTTCCTCTTACCTAAGGTCAATATCAAGATCACTGCTTTCAAGTTTCGCAATTGCTAAAGAGGATTTTGTCTGAGGAATTGAGCATGCTCAGTAGCTTTTTTCCCCCTTTTCCCTTTGTCAGAGAACCCTCCTCAAGTGAGCCAGACTGTAACAACGGTGCCCATGGAAAGTTAATCTGTTACGTCTTCAGGTTAACATTTACAGTTCTCTAGGTAGGGACTTAAAGTGCTCGCATCCTGTGCAAGAGCAACCTCCTGGGCAGTAGCCACCGATGGATAATTAACTGCCTGGAGGTGTTTAAAGGAGCGGAATGCTTCCTGTTGTTAATTTTTGGAAAGTGGGGAAGTTTGAAAAGAAATAGGAGAAAATAATAAAGGGATGTTTTTAAAATTTTGAAACTCCCTTCGAGATAAGAAAAATTAGGATTCCAAGCCTAGCGAGGAGCACTCTAAGCACCCACCCTTCTCTCCTGCCCCAGGGCCTGTGGCTGCAAGCTTAGCCAGAGAGCAGGAAAATCCCTCCCCGGCCGGAGCTGGCCCGCCCTTCAGCCCCAGCCTGCACTTCGCATGGGCTGGGCCCAGGTGGGCTCTGGAGTCACCCAGCCCTGCCACTGGGCGAGCGTGCAGAGAGGTGTGCGGGGAGGGGAGAAGACCCGAGCTGGGGCCGCGGGAGGGATGCAGGTACGTACCGAAGAGGCTGTGGTCCTGCCGGGTGCCCTGCACGCTGCCATCCGGCAGGATCTGCAGGTGGAAGCCGGTACGGCAGTAGAGCTGCCGGCGGCGAAGGATGCCGTGCAGGTGCGCCAGCTCCGCCGACCCCGGCCCGCCGCGGGCACCCCGCTCCGCCGCGCCCCGCCGCTCGCCCAGCAGAGGCGGCCGCTCCCCGGCAGGAGGCAGCAGAAAGTGCGAGCCCACCTGCTGGCCCAAGCCCTCCAGGCCGCCCAGGAAGCCCCCAACTTCGGCTAAGGGAGCCATAGAGGGGCCAGAGCGAAAGGCGGAAGATCCGGAAAAGACCCCCAATAAAGAGTGCAGCGGGGGTAACCAGGTGGGTAGAAATTACAGCAAAACAAGCTCAAAAAGTTGATGCCCCGTTACTTCTGGGAGCAGGAAAACTTGCACTGTCTTGGAGCGATGTTCGGTCCTCGGGGAGCGGAGGGCCGGCTGCCGGCCTTGCAGAAACATCTATAGTTGCAGCTGCCACTACTGGGTTGGGACTGGGGCTGGGGGCTGGGGCTCCACCTCCGCACACTGATCAGAGGAGAGTCCTGTGTACGTACACACCGAGTATATATGCGAGTCCTCTTGACATATGCTAATCAAGTCCTTTCATGCCGGCTGGGGAAGTTGGTTCTGTTTGAAATCTTAAACCGCCCTCCTCTCAACACGTTTTTGCTCTTCGGAAGTGACCCAAAGGGGCCCTTGACGGTTCTCTATCCATCCACTCATAAAAATCATTCCTGCACTTGACCACCGTCAGCCAGCAAATTCAGGGCGGCTCAGCTGAGGTTCCCCTTCGGGTTATCTTTAGGACAACGGTGATGCTGTTTGGCTGCTGCTGCGAAACCGCCTTTGATGTGAGGTCTTTTGCAGGGAAAGATCTCTGGGAAAGGGAGCCCAGCTTGGCAGCATATAGAAGGGGGGGTGGCAGAAAAGGAGGGGATGGGTGGGAGGAGGAAAAAGAGAGAAGAGGAGGAAAATTGGACTCCTTGAGAGCTGCTGGGAGCCTGCAGTGGACAGGTGCAAAAAAAAGGTAAGAGGGAGAAGGGAAAAGGGCGTTACCTGAGGCTTAGACCTGCCCAGACACACATGAAAGGAAAATCAAAGCTTTGACAGTTTAACTCACTAATTTTAAAACACTAATAAAATGTACAAGCATTACCCTTTTCTTTTATCATTTAGATGGGGATTTTCTTTACATAATCAAGGTTAGGTTAGGAACACCCTTCCCCCCTTTCCAAGTTCTCTTTAATGTTTATTTTTACACAGATAGTATATAACATAATAATGATTGCCTTGTTTCTATATGAATGTTTTAAGTTGTGTGTTAAAGTCCTGGATTCCAATTAGCATAATTAAATAACAGTATCATCATGAATCAAGGGATTCAGAGTAAACCAAAATAGGCTGAAAAGAGTTGGTTTACATTGTTTCATTTTGCCAGGAATAGAAAAATAAATAATTGGAATAGTGTCATAAATGATGAGCGACCTCTGGTGCCCTTACCTAATGTAAGAGCATTTCTCTTCTTTGCAGGTGCACTTTCTTAAAGGCTAGATGGGGGTGAGGGGTCCACACTTCAATTATAGCCTAAAAATAACTAGATGGAAAAAGTTGTCGATTGATATATTTTGAGACTTCAAAATGTACTGGTAAAATTTAAGACTACTTGTGAAAAATATTTGAAATGCAGAAAGTCATTGAAGTGAGGGACACATGTACATTTAAACACTAAAACTTTGGTTTTGTACCACAAGTTAAATTTAAGATCCTCTGTTAAAATTTCTCTGTGGAAGAAAAGTTGAGAAACATTTGGCAGATTTATGCTTCCCTTGAGCAAAAAGTTTTAGAGAGTCACTCAAGATTAGTTTTAAAGTCTTGTTTCATGGTCTGTTCAACAAAAGGCTAAATCTGGGAGCTCAGCTGGATTTGACTGGTTTTTCTCTGAAGGATTTTTTTGTTTTGTTTTTGTTCTTTTTTTTTGCTAATTAATTGGCAGGTGCTTTAAAGTAGGTAAAGTTACATCTTTTCATCAGTACAGTGCAAAGCCCTGACCTTAGTGCAACCAAACTGTAAGAGTCCTTAAAGCAAGTGATTTACTATTGATAGATATGAAATAAAAACACTGGCTAAAAACAATAAACAGATAAGTCACTTTAGAAATGTATATTGCTAAGTCTGTTTTAAATGTACCAGGTAGATAGATGTCATATTGTTTCACCTTTCAAATAACAACAGTCTGTCTTGTGGTAGGACCCCCAAATCCACCATAATCAAAATTTCAAAGCACATCTGTGTAAACATTATCACATCAGTGTAAAACATCAACCAATGAGCTTTTACTTTGAACCAAATCTTCTTAATTGCAGTGTTAAATCAAAGAAAGCTAGATCAAAGTTGTGTGAATCTCATAGCAGAATAAGTAAAGTAGCCAGAACATTCATTGATCACTTTTCAAGAGGAGATACTTAAAGGTTTTTAACTTAGATCAAGTGTCTTTTAATGAGGCTTGTTTCAAGGTCTAAGTTCTATGCAACATACAGTACTGTTAATTATTCTACAAGGAATATATATTATTGTCACCTGCTCCTAGAGCTACCAGTTCAATCCATAAAATATTTCCCCACATGAACACTTAAGTCCTGCTGTACAATCTCTATGGCTTTAAAACTGTTTAAATATCTTGTATTTTATACACACACACAAACATTAAAATATGGGAAATTTTTTAAATATAGTCAGCAAACCCCAAATAATTTAATAATAGAGCTACCTTGTCTTTGTATGCCTTAGCATTTTAAGGTGCGTTCCTTTATTTGATCACAATGACCCTATGAGATAGGAATATTCACCTCATTGAAAAAAATGTCCTAAATTCTGCCTGACTCATTTAATACAGAGTCCAACATCCAGGGCAATTTCCATAACTTCTTTAAATACCTCTATTTCCTCTTTTGTAAAATACAGACAATATAACTCTCACCTAGTGTACTATGGATAAGATTGCTATGAGACTTAAGTGTGAAAACTATGTAGGAAATATATTTTAAAACCAAAAAGTTTTCTATGTATATAAAGTGCTTGAAAACTTCAGTTATTGGGACATTTCTTTATTTTATACTGAGCAAATGTAATCTTTTTAAAATCCAAAATAAATTCTTTCCAAAATAAACTTTTAATGTGTAAATTGTGAATGGTGCTCGATGCCATTTTATAAAGAACCAGAATAGAAACAAAAAGATAAGGATTTCTTTTGTTTGTTCTAGTCATGTGACAGGAAAAGATAACATTAAAGTTTTTTTTTGCACATGCTGTGATGATATCATGGGAAGTTAAATAATTTTGAAGAGTGTTTTACAAGAGTACATTATTCAACTTTTAAGTATACACTGCAATCTAATCAACTTTGCCTATATAGTACTTCCTAGAGACCACACTTGCTTTGCTGTTATACAAATAGGCCATACAACTTCTACTTCCACAAAATGTAAGTTACAGTTTTCCAGACCATATAACTCTATAGCTTTTCAGACAGTAGATTGCCATGAAGCTTTGTTTTTACACATGCAAAAAGAAATAATGCCTTTTGTTGCTTCTATAATTGTGTAACTTGAAAAAAGAGCTAATTTAAAAGTCATGACTTATGCCTCCAGTAAAATAAATGTACATTTGAACAGTATTATTCCTTATTTTTAATTATAAGACATTGACAACAATATAAATTTTCATACATAAGAAACTGGTTGAGTAAATTATGATACAGACAAAGGAGCATTATGTAGCTGGGAAAAAGAATGAGGAAGATCTCTATGAGCTAATATGAATTACTTTCAGGACATATTATTATGCAAAAAAGCAAAGTACAGAAAAGTTTATATAGTGTGCTACCTTTTCTGTAAGAAAGAAGGAAAATAAAAAAACTTCTACATGTATCTACTTACTTTTAAAAAGTAAACACAGAATAGTAAACCAAAAACTAATAACACTGGTTGGCTGGGAACTGGAATGGAAGAGATGGAGAAGTGACACTTCTCTGAGAATGTTTTAAAAGTTTTGACTTTTGGAGAAATGTTTGTGTTTTACATCTTTAAAGCAAAATAAAATAAACAAGAATGGGGGTGGTGGAACAAAAACGGAAACAAATGAACCGAACTGTATTCAGTGAACAACATAACCACACAAAAGAGAGCAACATTATTGTTTTAAAAGTGAGTAACTTAAATATAGTTCTTTGCTAATTTAATCAAGGACATAAGAACATTTTCAACTTCAATGAAAAGGATTTTCTCAGTGGTAAGAGAGAAGTACATTATACAACTGAGCAAATGAGCAAATATACTTACAACCTCAGCCCTTTTTAAAATTTTCAGACAGAGTCTCACTAAGTTGCTCAGGCTACCCTCACACTTGTGATTATCCTGTTTCAGCCTCCTGAGTAGCCAAGATTACAAGCAAGAAACACTTTTTATGCTTCCTGTAGTAAAAAGGTTTAGAACTCCTAGGTTCAAATGATCCTCCCACACCAGCTTCCGAGTAACTGGGGCTAGTAAGTAATAGTACTTTGAGATAAGTGTGAAAGAATTAACAAGTACTCCTTGGAGTACTCTATTTTGCAGCACCTGGATGCTATGATTTGGATCTGAAAAGTCCCCCAAATGCCTGTGCTTGAGGCTAGCCAATAGGTTTGTGGGAGATGATTGCATCATGAGGGTTCTGTCTTCATCAGTTTATTGATCCAGTTATAAATCCATAATTTGATGGCATTATTGAGAGCTTATGGAAACCTGGGAGGTGGGACTTAGTTAAAGGCAGTGTTGATGGTGTATGCTTTTAGAGACTATAACTTGTTTCTGGCCTCTTTTTCTCTGGTTCTCTGCTTCCTCTCCAACATGAGGTGAGCAACTTTTTTCTGCCATGTTCTTACACCATGATATTTCTTCCTTGCAATGGACCTAAAAGCAATGGATCCAGCTAACCATGAACTGAAATTTCTGAAACCATGAGCCAAAATAAATCTTTCCTCCTTTAAGTTGTTTTTCTCAGGTACTTTGTCACACCAATGGGGAAACTCTAACACACTGGCTAAATACACATCATTCACTAATCTTTCACATGATCTTCTGTATTAATGTTGAAATATATCATAAAATATATGATTTCCATTTCATTGAAAAAAAATTTCCAAATTGCCTTCATCAAACATCTCATTTAACAGGTGTTTTTCACATTAATCTCACCTAGCTAATGAAAACACAAAA